TCATTGTTTAAACAATTTTTAACGCAATTTTCGGCTTAGCAACACGCAGGTTCGTTTTCGAATAAGTTTATGCAAAAGTTTGAATCAGAATATTTTTCCGAACGGATGGGAATATACCCGTCTAATTGAAATTTGACATCTACAAAAAACTGTAAATGGTATTGCTCCGTCGGCTTGTCTGTCAGTGTGTCCTGTAAGGTTTGCCGCCTCTATAAATATAGCATGATATATTAGAAAATCCCAAAATAAGCATCATATATTATTTATTTCTCCCTTCTCTCCCAAACCAATAAATGTTTGTGGATATACGAAGGTTATATAAAACTTTGTCGGCAATACTGTGTACATCGAGTCATCAACTTTGTTTACATGTCTGCTAAAATCCTCCACTACCGCGAAACGGTTTATACCGGTTTATATTTAATCCTCAATTTAATCCTAATTGGCTCATCACTTAGCCGCGTATTTAGGATACGCCTGCAGTGCCCACAAACCGCAAATATCCCGACAAATACGAATAAAATAGGTTTACTTCTGGCAATGATGAATCAGTTTCAAGCTTGAGAGTTCATCTGGATAGGGTTATTCTCTACTTAAGCTGTACTGAATCCATTTGCTATATGTGTGACGATGTTCAACCGTATACGTTATTTCATGTTTATTAGTAACTGTCAGTACAGTATAGGCATAGACTTGGAGAATTAAAATAGGCTAGGAGCCACTTGGCTAGGCAAAGAGGTGCTTGTATCTCTTTCTGAAACACGTATTCCCCTCTTCTCGTGCTTCTCTCTCGTACACATTACGATGTCAGTAGTATTTGGTTTTCAGTGAATATGCCTAATATATCCTTTCTTTGAACAGAATATTTAAATAGCCAATCATACAGCAGTGCAGAAATCCTGTTTGAGTTGCTATGTGAACCACTCTGTTATTTTTAATAAACAGATATAAATTCGTGAATAATTCGTGATTTAGGAAGGTTAATAAATGAAATACAAAAAAATATATTTTTAGAAACACGCTTTTATTTAGCTGTTAAAACGAATTAAAGATACAGAACTGTTTTCCGATTGGAAATATGCCGTTTTATACATCTTAACATTTAAACAATTAAAAATCTCCTTGATCTCATTAAATTTTAAATGAAAGCGTGTTACACGCTTTTTACCTCTTGCTGCGGAAACGTAACTTTATTCGAGCTTCAATATTGTTTACAGGTTAAGAAGTACGTTATATTGCCAAAATAAAAGTTGTCATTAAAAATAAATTTTTTATTTTATTTTCCCGTTTTAGTTTTTAGGTCGAATAACGAGTTCTATATCACCTATGTAATTTACATATATTTTATTAATAGGACTTCATAAAACTTCCTGCTTTTTTATATTATAAGATTTCGATAGATATAATATTTCACGTAAATACGTGAGATGTACTTATAAGTATCCTTCGTTAAGTGATTGACTAAGTAAACCGTCTTAACGTACTGTCTAATGTTAAAAAGCTGAAATTTTCAAGGTTTTTATAGATGAGTACATATTTACTTTACATAATAGTCGTTTAACTCAATTATCAGAACCTAGAATCAGAGTACCTATTTGTCAAGAAGAATCAAACGGGTCCCAATTGGATGGGGGACCTACCAGCTTCATTTTCAGATCAGATCCATGTCATAATCACATTGTCATATCCGCCACATTGGATTCGCTCATCAAACCTTTTCGTTCGACACCGTTCTCATAGGGGATAAATCGATAATTGCGGCGGTCACTATTTTGGATTCACAAGGATGTTACCTTGCTTGTGTTTCTCTAATCAACTCATTTCATTTCATATCTGTGACTATGGAAATTATAAATCACTATTTTGCAGCAGCCGCTATATTGGATTTAGTCTGGCGCCATTCTGCTTATTGTGTTTCTCTTATCGAGCCCTAAATTACTAATTATAACGCGAAAATAAAGACCTTTTTCTAAGAACTTTCAGATTCAATAGGTAGACCTCAAAGTTAAAGTTTCTGCATAGGTTACATCCTGTCAAAAATCAGATCCTATCAACGCCAACCTAAGTCCCATGCGTTTGGCAGGATTTTCGTTGCTGTCAACTGTTACTGTGACATATAATGATATTCGATTTACCTACTTCTACCCTTGTTGGTGGTTATATTCAATATAAAAAGCTCTCCAACAATTATCTTGTATAAATTCATGTGGGCAAATGATAAATCAAATTCAAGCGGATAACCAAATGGAAATAGTATTTACCATTTTGGGTTGGTATTTACCAATCCGTTCAAGCGAGTGTAGTTATCAGTTTGGTTATAAAATCCGTGACGTCACGAATCAGCTGTTATATGTCATAGTTATCACCGCAAAATTGTGGTATTTACCCAACTCAAGAGTAGTTTTATATTTCTGGTTATTATTTGAAATGTGACAAGTTAGAATTTTGCCGGGTATTGGATATTGTTATTGCACTTCAGCTTCATTTTTGAGAAAAATGATACAGGCTAACTTCAGTTTTACCATAAAGTGAAGCACCTTATTAGTTATACTCATTACGGTTGTTGGGGACATTTTAAATGTAGTTCCTATGCTTAACAAAGTATCCTGTGTAGCCATATACCACAAGAATATTAAAATATGGCCATATAAACTCACTAGATGATATCTACCAGTATACGGTTTTGCTAATTTCTTTTTTCATCATTTCTGCTGAATCAATAAATGTTTTCTTTGACATGCAGAAAAATTTAGAGAATCATAGCTACAAAGCCATGGTTCCATCATTAAAAAAAAATCTGAAAAAAACATTTCTCCCATGAATATTATGAAAGGTTTCTTATTTAAACTTTCCATATACAGTTGTAGACGAAAAAGCACCGATTATTAAGTGATAATAAAAATAATCAGAGATTATACACGCGCTTTTCTAAAATAAACAACTTGGAACAAAACCGCGGTTAAAGCCAACGCGTTCAAGCGATTCGTGTAACTGACGTCATCAACCCGTGTGTCATCTTGAGGGTATTCGCTTGACTTATATCCATTGCACATAACATATTGTTTCCTATGACATAAATAAGATCTGAAAAATAGCAACAATGCATTTGAAGTTGTCTATCGATTGATTCACAAACATATTGAGTAAGATGTAGCAAGTTAGTAACTGTGGACCTGCCCTTCATGAAACCATGTTGACTGACGGAGATAGACCTGCTTACATGAAAATATAGCACAGTTTGTATCACTATTTCGAATGTTTTAGCGAAATTACTGATAATTGTGATAGCCCGATAGTTTTCTACATAATTCCTCTCACCTTTTTTAAAAACAGGAGTTACCCTAGACAACTTCCAAATAGATGGAAAGTGATTATTTTTCATCTATTTGGAAGTTGTCTAGGGTAACTCCTGTTTTTAAAAAAGGTGAGAGGAATTATGTAGAAAACTATCGGGCTATCACAATTATCAGTAATTTCGCTAAAACATATATAGTGATACAAACTGTGCTATAGATATAGCTGTGGCATGTTAATGGCATTAGACCAGCTCAGCTGTCTGGATTTACATAGATGCTATTTTTGTTATACCTCTCCAGAGAGTTAATTCTTGTACTGAGGGAGTAGAATAACTCGGAGTGGGCGGGGTTGTGGTTCTCTTACCTGTGGTGGAACTGTATTTCTGATATTTTCGGGAAAAAAGTGGGGATGTCTCGCCGTCGTCTATCAGTCTGATCTCTAAAGACGAATGGTTTGTTCGTCGGTAACTTGTCGGTGACTGTCAAAATCAGATGTTACCTGTTCTTACAGTTTCTGACTGTTTGCCGACAGCTAATCCGCTGTTCGTATAGAACCTTCTGACAGATCAGAGACTCCAGTCAACCAGCGACAGTGACTGGTATGAGAGTGTGTCGAAACTATCTTTTGGACTGAAATTTCTTCGCAAAAGGCATTTAATGACCGATTACTCTTCTTTAATGGACACCTTCGCACCGACGGGCAGTTGACAATCTAGCTACACCAACGGGTTTTGCTCCTCAGAGCTCTCTTCCATGGTGTCTGAGCGATATACCAAGAAGATGAAGACATTGAAGATCTACTGGAGGAGAGATTGAAACTCAAAAACCTGAACTTTGTGGTTCAAGCGAGTGTAGTTATCAGTTTGGTTATAAAATCCGTGACGTCACGAATCAGCTGTTATATGTCATAGTTATCACCGCAAAATTGTGGTATTTACCCAACTCAAGAGTAGTTTTATATTTCTGGTTATTATTTGAAATGTGACAAGTTAGAATTTTGCCGGGTATTGGATATTGTTATTGCACTTCAGCTTCATTTTTGAGAAAAATGATACAGGCTAACTTCAGTTTTACCATAAAGTGAAGCACCTTATTAGTTATACTCATTACGGTTGTTGGGGACATTTTAAATGTAGTTCCTATGCTTAACAAAGTATCCTGTGTAGCCATATACCACAAGAATATTAAAATATGGCCATATAAACTCACTAGATGATATCTACCAGTATACGGTTTTGCTAATTTCTTTTTTCATCATTTCTGCTGAATCAATAAATGTTTTCTTTGACATGCGGAAAAATTTAGAGAATCATAGCTACAAAGCCATGGTTCCATCATTAAAAAAAAAATCTGAAAAAAACATTTCTCCCATGAATATTATGAAAGGTTTCTTATTTAAACTTTCCATATACAGTTGTAGACGAAAAAGCACCGATTATTAAGTGATAATAAAAATAATCAGAGATTATACACGCGCTTTTCTAAAATAAACAACTTGGAACAAAACCGCGGTTAAAGCCAACGCGTTCAAGCGATTCGTGTAACTGACGTCATCAACCCGTGTGTCATCTTGAACCATATTGTAACCGCGGCACATACCACAGAAATTTTGGTTATTCGCTTGGATTTGATTATATACTTCTTGATTCTGTAGTTTGACGTATGACATTCGTGACGTCAGACTAATGAAGTGTAACAACAACCCGTGCGAAAAATCCTCCAGACGCCCATGGAATCAGGTAGGATCAAGGGGTGTAACATTTTGCTATCTAACCTTAGATTGGGACTGAGCAAAGAGAGAAACAAGAAATCGAATGAAATAAATCAAAATTACCTCACAACTATCTAGGTTAAACACTCAATGTTGAGATACATTATGTACCCTTTCATATCGATAAAAGGATCTGCTTATTAAGCTTAAACTGCTTTGTACAATTCACACGAACCTTCACCATTTTCAGTACTTGACTGGAATACTAGGACTTAAGGAAAACCCACGCGGTTGTATGTAAAACAATTTGCATGCAAATAGACATTTGTAACATAACCTCAAAATAGAGCGCCATTCTGAAGGTCAGGAAAAACTATGAAAATCATATCAATTATGTGAACGATACGGACTTAAGGTTAAGCTACTTGTAGCTGGGATCCTGACTACTGACTACATAATTATGGTTCAAAATAGATGGCGTGCTAGCTCCTTCTGCTTAGTTCGAGTATACACAAAACATAAGCAACTCCCCCCTCTCCCTGCGCATCCATGTGAAAGATATCGTAATTAAGTTTACGTACCTTGTCAAGTTTTGATTTCATCTGAGTCTTTTAAATACGTTTGGCGCATTTGCCATTTTTCAACCTTCTTTGATTATCACCTACTGTACCGTATGACCTACAGGTTGAACCTCCTTGACGCCATGTTTCTTATTGTTCTAGGTGCGATTCCCATCTCATTTCGGCTCCGACCTGAAAGACCTCCTGCGGAACCTGCTGCAGGTCGATCTGACGAAGAGGTACGGCAACCTCAAGATGGGCGTTAACGACATCAAGGGACACAAATGGTTCGCGTCCACCGACTGGATAGCCATATTCCAAAAGAAAATCGAAGCGCCATTTATACCGAGGTGTAAGGTAAGCTGAACCCTTATACATATTCTGGATCAGTTAGAAATTACTTTAGCTTGAGAGTCAAGGCCTGATTTGTCTTTTTACGCCGAAGCAGCCACGCAAGCAGAAGCCACAATCCCAGGACGCCACTGCTGGTATGAGGAGCTTGAAGAAACTTTGTCAATCCGATTTTTGAACTACCTAATGGTAGTAGAACTAGGGAAAGCCTCCTCATGGAGATTGTTCCAGAATGAAGATACCCTAGGGACAATGGAACGGTCGTATCGGCCAGTTCTGGATGTACAAAGTTCTACACGGTTAGGATGAGAGGCTGAAGTCAGGTGGGTATGTCTGGCAGGCACATCGCGCGGCGGCATCATGGAGGAGCAAAGTCCGTTGGCGTAGCGGTAGAAGGGTCTCGTGATTGTTCGTTTGAGAAGAATCATCTATCAGTCGGACAGTCCTCCTCTAAACATGGATAATGTAGACGGTGCGGCAGCACCCCAAACATGTGAGCAGTATTCCAGGCCTTTTACAGAATGAGGATGTCATGTGGAGAAAAGTATTTCGTAGCCCTAAACAAATAGCCTAGGTTTTTCCCAGCAGCTGCCGCTATTGACGAGATGTGTCCGTGCCAGATCAAGTCCTCAGCGATCTAGACTCCGACCAGCCGAAATGAACGGCTTTTTGGTAGAACTTGGCAAGTGAAGTGAAATATCGACTATCCCAGCTTGCCTACATCTATTATATGACATCTTTTTGAAGTTCCTTAAATGTCGATCTGACATTTAAGCTAGCGCTAAATGATGCAGTATCTGTGGTGATACGCCGCGTCTCGCCACATCAGTTTTTTCAGTAGCAAGGGAGAGCTTAACTCCCCCTATTGTTGCCGCTCAGCCATAAGGAATCTTGTGTACCCTGGCACGGGTATTATGTAAAAAACCTATAAAATGTCAAAAAAAGTCTATAAAATCTCATCTTGCAGACTACCTAGCTTTTAGGGTGCAACCAATCATTCCGCGTTTGCTCACTAGGATCGTTGTGAGCGTCCATCTATAGAGGAATAGCTCCACTACATGCATTGTTGATTGCATATGTTTTGTGAAGCCGAGTATTCTATAGTTTTCATCTCTGAGAAGAAAGCTGGTTGAATAGCAAGATCGCATCTGGATGATTGTGTGTATCGGTTGATTATGTGTATCGGTCTGCATATGCATAAAATCAGTGATATTTGTTGTGTGAGAAAATCATTACTGAATATGCTGCCAATTAAGTACGAGTATATATGTTAGCTCTGACCGACGATGTTGTCCTTTCTGAAGACAGGTTATGTTCGAAGTTATAAATTACGTTTTTTTTTAGGTTTTTTCTGTTTTCAAAGACTTAGCATGTATACGACTTGTAATTCGACAGTGTACAATGAATATAATTATTTCTTATGTCTCTCATTTTTTAAATTCAGCAAATTTGCATATGTAATATCCAGAATGGATGAAGTGGATGCGCAACTAATGTCTAGCTTTGAATCTCAAGTAAGTGTATTTGAGATAAGAATCCAAGAGAATTATCATCAACATATAATATGAGCACACAAATCCTCACTATGCACCTATGCATTGCCGTGTCCTTCTAGATATAGTACACAACTTACAGCTTAGACCTCCAGTAATGCCATCTCAGAAGCAGATTTTACACCAGAGCCAAACATTGATAACTGAAGCATCATGACGTGTAGGCAACACGTACAACTACAAAACGAGTTCACAACGTGTCCATCAGCTAGTGCTAATTTAACATCTTTTCGAAAAACCTACATGATGTCATAAAAAAACAATACAAGGTCAAAAAAATCTATATAGTATCACTTTTCAAGATACGTAATACCAGTGACGATTAGGCTACATCTATCCTCATCATCATCTCTTATTTTTGACACACTTATCGGCTCTCTCATGACTTGCCGCCCACGAGAAGATTACTTTATTGGTCTCTTCCAGTGCCTTGAGGGTATTATGGCAGTCCCCGCTATCTTCGAGATATTTATTTATTTATTTTTTTTATTTATTTATTTAGCAACATCCAACAGCCATAGCCAATTACAGGATGGATAAACATGAAAATATAAACAAATGCATGTTGTGGATGTATGTAGAGAAAGCTAAAACGCTGTAAAAAAAACCTCAAAACAGAACTGGGAGGAAAAAAAGCGTTCTAGCTTTACCTACCCAGCACTCAACAATCACACCGGCAAGCATTAACGAAAATAAGCATTAATGTCTCCCAAAGTCGCACAAAACGAAAATATATCTAAAACGCTATTAACTGAATTATAATTACGGCACATTATATATATAGGGGAAAACTTAAGTATGTCAGTCCTAGGCCTGGCTAAGTAAAAAGTTAAACTAGTTCGTGACGCTAATCTAGGAATTAAGAAGTTAAGTTATTCTAAGATGACACTGGAGTCAATAATGCCGTGGATGAGCTTGTGATTGAACTTAAGTGAATTCATTTTGCGTCTGCTCTCTAAATTATAGATTTTGTGTCTCGCCATCAACTCACTATGAGGAAAGCCAATAGCGGGATATACCCCGTCAGCTTTGTATGAGAGGTATTTTAAAAACTTTCTTTGAACGGACTCTAAGCGGTCAATATATATTTGATGATGAGGATACCATACCAGGGACGCATACTCAAGCTTAGATCTTACATAAGCATAGTACAGTATTTTCAGTGTAAAGGAGTTGTGGAAATCACCGGTATTTCTTACAATAAAACCATACGCCTTTGATGCAGCCACAACAGCATTTTCAATGTGATAGGAGAAGGAAAGTTTCCTGTCAAATGTGACTCCCAAGTCATTAATTGTACTAGGTCTGTCAAGTTTCCTGTCACCAATACTATATTCATACATCATTACCCCTGTTTTTAAAGTAAACGACAAAACGTGACACTTAGCAGCATTCAAAACAAGTCTGTTTTCACGACACCAGTTGTCAACCCTTACAATATTGCGTTGCAAGCGATGACAATCGTCAATGTTGGAGACTCTACAGAAAAGTTTCATATCGTCAGCATATATAAGAAAATCGACATCGATAACTTCAGAAATATCATTTATGAACATAATAAATAACAGAGGTCCCAAATTAGATCCTTGAGGAACACCGAACATTACAGGGTATTCGCTTGACTTATATCCATTGCACATAACATATTGTTTCCTATGACATAAATAAGATCTGAAAAATAGCAACAATGCATTTGAAGTTGTCTATCGATTGATTCACAAACATATTGAGTAAGATGTAGCAAGTTAGTAACTGTGGACCTGCCCTTCATGAAACCATGTTGACTGACGGAGATAGACCTGCTTACATGAAAATATAGCACAGTTTGTATCACTATTTCGAATGTTTTAGCGAAATTACTGATAATTGTGATAGCCCGATAGTTTTCTACATAATTCCTCTCACCTTTTTTAAAAACAGGAGTTACCCTAGACAACTTCCAAATAGATGGAAAGTGATTATTTTTCATCTATTTGGAAGTTGTCTAGGGTAACTCCTGTTTTTAAAAAAGGTGAGAGGAATTATGTAGAAAACTATCGGGCTATCACAATTATCAGTAATTTCGCTAAAACATATATAGTGATACAAACTGTGCTATAGATATAGCTGTGGCATGTTAATGGCATTAGACCAGCTCAGCTGTCTGGATTTACATAGATGCTATTTTTGTTATACCTCTCCAGAGAGTTAATTCTTGTACTGAGGGAGTAGAATAACTCGGAGTGGGCGGGGTTGTGGTTCTCTTACCTGTGGTGGAACTGTATTTCTGATATTTTCGGGAAAAAAGTGGGGATGTCTCGCCGTCGTCTATCAGTCTGATCTCTAAAGACGAATGGTTTGTTCGTCGGTAACTTGTCGGTTACTGTCAAAATCAGATGTTACCTGTTCTTACAGTTTCTGACTGTTTGCCGACAGCTAATCCGCTGTTCGTATAGAACCTTCTGACAGATCAGAGACTCCAGTCAACCAGCGACAGTGACTGGTATGAGAGTGTGTCGAAACTATCTTTTGGACTGAAATTTCTTCGCAAAAGGCATTTAATGACCGATTACTCTTCTTTAATGGACACCTTCGCACCGACGGGCAGTTGACAATCTAGCTACACCAACGGGTTTTGCTCCTCAGAGCTCTCTTCCATGGTGTCTGAGCGATATACCAAGAAGATGAAGACATTGAAGATCTACTGGAGGAGAGATTGAAACTCAAAAACCTGAACTTTGTGGTGAAGACAGTGCCATAATTCAACAGCAACAGGTTTTTGTAACATTTTCGGGTGAGCAAGTGGCAGAAGAAAATTTAATGAAATTCCATTTGTGCTCAATATTTTGTTTATTGATCCGGTAATGGCAAAATGAAGATTATGAATACAGTAGGAAAAATCCGAAAAATAGAGGACATAGCTTTCAAGAACCATAATCAATACGATTTTTCTGATCACTAATCTTTTGAACATTTTTGTTACAGTTGCAAAATGCGAAATTACGCAATTTAAGTCTTTTCTTAGTCTCAGTTCGTTTTATTCATTTATTTATTTATTTATTTATTTATAATCCATACACTGCCTGAACAGAGTGTTCCAATTAACAGGCAGGGAAAAAACAAAAAGTGATACAAAAACAAAAATGTAAGCAGTATAAACATAAACATAAATTATCCAATTGTTAAAAATAAACTCTTGAGATTGATTTTGGAGGTACTAAACGTATCAAGTTCACTTACACTGTCACAGACATTACACATAACATAAAGAGGAGAAAATAACAATAAATTTGTCCGCGGAACAGGTAAATAAAATGAATTGTTACCACCATGACGAGTACGCAAATCGGGAACGCGTAGAGAGATCCTGTCTAAAAGAAAAGGGCAATCAATTGTTCCATTCAACAAATTACATAAAAATTTAGCAGCTAACAGATTCCTACGTTTGACTAAATTAGATAAATTATACCTACTT